CCCAAATTTCACAAGTATTTGAATTTCATCCTTGAACTTATTTTAGTCCACATTACTCATGGAATTTTAAAAATTATAAAATATAATAGTTTGATAAATTTAACTTCCATCTTATCTTTTAAAAATTCAATAATCAACCATTCATTTAAACATAGTTAATCGATCTCTTATGTACTTTACTCGAATAAAAAAGAATGTCAAGTTCGAAACTAACGCGAATAAATAAAATTAGAGATCTACTTGAATAAAATAAATAAATTTAGGGACTAAAAGCTGATCTATTCCAGTGATATTACTAAATTCAAAAACAAAAGGATAAATTATGTGTTTAGTACTTAAATTATCAATTTCAGTATGTTTTAGTACCTAAACTATCAATTTTTTCAAAATCATACCTAAAATTTAATTTTTATTTCAGTTTAGTACCTCGTTCAAAATTTAACGTTAAGTTTTGAAAAAAATGGAAGTTTAGAAACTAAAACGGACCAAAACTGATAGTTTAGATACTAAATGCGTGAAATTTTAACGACGGATACCAAAATAAAACAAAAACTAAATGTTAGTCATGATTTTAAAAAATTTAAAAGTTTAGGTACTAAAATTGATAATTTAGGTACTAAACTATCAATTTGCCGAAAAATAGCAAATTCAATAAATAGCCATCATATTTAATGGGTGAAGCTCAGAGAAATTCGTTATTTCATTAGTTATAATTCTCCAGCAAAGAAGAAAGAAATATCAAAGGCGAAGTTCTCTCATTGTCGGTTCCATTTACCGCCAAATTTCTCTCGGGTCAATTCTAACCTCTTCTCTTTGCATCTACTTTACATTTTACCCCAATTTGATTGAATTTTTCCCGATTTTCCAAGTTCTTGTTTTTGATTGTTTGGTTACGGGAAGAGGATAGTTTCATGGAAAATTTGAATTTGTTTTGGTTGAAATTCATGCATTTGGATGCAGAATATAGATATTTTTTTTAATTTCTTAAATAGTTCCGGTTGATCGCACTCAAAGTACTAAATTGCTGTTGCGGTTGCCACTGCGGTAGATGTAGCAGATTGTTTACTGAAAATAATTATGTTTATAAATTGCGAATGCTGTTGCGGCGACCTTGAAAACCATTATATTGCTGCCATTATGTTGGTGCGATCGCAATTTAGTACTACGATGGCAATGCTTTTATATTATTGTTTCGTAACGAACTAAGTGGTTAGTTGAAGGATTTAGTCTTCTACGTTGATTCTAGATTTTAATTTTCGATGCGGTGTGGTAATTAGCCAGAACGGAACGATGAGGCTGCAAACATATGCCAGCGCCAGCATAGTCGCGATGCTAGCTGTTATTTATCATGCATTTAACAGTAGGGGCCAGTTTTATCCTGCTATGGTGTATTTATCGACATCGAAGATCAGCTTGGTGCTGCTTCTCAACATGGGGCTTGTCTTTATGTGCACCTTATGGAAAATAACCAAGCGGATATTCCTCAGTTCCCTTCGTGAAGCCGAGGTCGAGCGGTTGAACGAGCAGTCGTGGAGAGAGGTCATGGAGATCCACTTTGTGATCACTATTTTCCGGCAGGACTTATCCGTTCCATTCCTCGCGATGGTTACTGCTCTGTTGTTGATCAAGGCATTGCATTGGTTGGCACAGAAAAGGGTTGAGTACATTGAAACAACCCCTTCTGTCCCTATGTTGTCTCACATTCGGATTGTTTCTTTTCTGGGTTTCCTTCTTCTGGATTGTCTGTTTCTGTCCAGCTCTATCAAGTTTCTGTTCGAAACACGACAAGCTTCAGTTTCCCTATTCTTTGCATTTGAGTAAGTTTTTAACTTAAAATAATTTACATAACATGAGTAGTTCTGATTCCTCCCCCTGTATCTTTCCAAGTGCTCTGTGCATCTCCGTTTCTCGCATGTATCATTGTTCTCTGTTCCAGCTGCACTAGGGAGTGGTGTATATGTATTTCTCCAGTTTATCTAATTTCACTCTAGACTAATGTCGAGTTCTTCGGGTCTAGGCACATGATATTGGCAACGACTATAGTGTCAACTTTGATAAAATACTGTTTCTATGTAACATGCTTATGGAAGGGCAATGGGAAAAAAAGCCTGTCTATACCTTCTACTTGGAGCTCATTCGGGACTTGCTTCACTTGTCTATGTATTTATGTTTCTTTCTTGTGATTTTCATGTAAGCAAACTTTTTCTGTTTAGTTTCTGCACAATCAAGTCTGGATATCTTAATTTACTTGTGTGTGTATGCATGTCCAACATATTGATCAATGATATGGTTGTTGATTTTTAATTGGTTTCTGCAGGAACTATGGCGTACCTCTTCACTTGATACGGGAGCTATATGAAACCTTAAGGAATTTCAAAATTCTTGTTGCTGACTACATGCGTTATAGGAAGATCGCTTCGAATATGAATGATAGATTCCCAGATGCAACCCCTGAGGAGCTCACTGCGTGAGTCAAATAGTATTTGTTTATGTACTGGGTTTTATTTTTTAGGTATCTTTTAATTGCAATTTGAGTTTTGGATTCTTGATTGCTTAACAATTGGATGAGCAGAAACGATGCAACATGAATTATATGCCGTGAAGGGATGACCACAGCAAAGAAGTTAATCTGTGGACATCTTTCCCATGTGCACTGTCTTCGATCATGGCTGAAAAGACAGCATACCTGCCCTACATGTAGAGCTCTGGTTGTACCACCTGAAAACAGAACAAGTTCATCCGATGCTCAAGGGCAAGGTAACCTCATTGAAGCATCATCTATCATAAGATGAATTCTTTCTTTCAGGATTTAGATAGGATAGATCATTCATGGATAAAATGCCTAAGATTTTGAAACTTTGTAGCTTTGTCCTAGGCCTCCGGTGAATCTATGAGGTCTGCAGCGATATTGCTTCTAACTTCTATAACTTTGCAGTTATCATACCGACATTATTACTGTTTGAAAAACGTCGGCTAATTGTTTAAAGTGGGAACAGGGTCCGGCACGAGTTCAGCTAGACAAGGTTCTGGAGGTGACATGGCCGGTGGTAATTTGACCCAGCATCAGGTGAGGCTTCAGGCTGCTGCCTCTGCAGCATCGATATATCAGAGATCTTACGTCTATCCTTCTGCAAACACTCTAGTTTGGTAGGTGGTTTTATGCTTGTCGTGCTGCATGTCAACGAAATATGCAATTTCCTAATTTTTCTGTCGTTATAATCTCTCCTCGTTTTTTCAATGCGACATTTTTACCTGTCAATCGCCATGGTTATTCGCACGGGTACAGTTTGGTTATCCCCACAGTTCGGATATAACAATCCTCGTCCCCATCCCCATTTGAACTTCGGGGATAAAACTTTCCCCATTCCCATCACTAGGGTAAAGATTTTGGTTATTCCCCATCCCGTCGGTTCGGATCCCCACGGATTTCGGTATAAAAATTGATATGATTAACAGATAATATGAAATTGCACAATGATATGTACACATGCCTAAATATGATGATATAACTTATATAATATACACAAAATCTGTGAATATTCGTATTATGATGTGAATTGATATTATTTCATGGGATTTTTTTTTTAATTTGAATTTGAGTAAAAAAAAATTGGGTTGGATTCATGTTGAATTTAAATTAAAAATCTTTAAGTCGACCGAATCCGGAATAACTCAAGTCGGATAGGTAGTAAACTTACCCGACCCGACTAATTGATATCCCTCCTCATCCAACAAATGTGTATATCATTGTGCAATTTCATATCGTCTGCTAATTATATTTTTTAAATAGTTTATGGACTAGGATAACTACAAAGTAATATATATTTAAAAAATTTTTAACTTATTAACAACGCACTATATAGGCATTGTTAGAGGTGTGCAAAAATGTCCGATCCGATTTTTCGGATAATTCGGATTAGATATTTGATAAAAATTTCGAATAATTAGATAAAGATTGAAAAAATCTCAATTTCAAATTATCCGAATATTCAAAAAATAAATGGGACTTTTGCCCTAGACCTAATAGTACTATCTTTCTCTCCCAAATATCATCCCTCGTGGAATTGAAATTGACATTGAAAAATTCCTGACTAGGATATAACCCACCGCTACTGAGCTTGGTTAGTATAATCACAGTTTGAACTATCCTCAATGCTCTGCATTTGTTTGGATCATAATAATAATAAGTATCAAAGATGCCTATTGGCGAAAACACCTTTTATATATTTAAGCCTAAATCACTAAACCTTCTTTTTCTCACCATTTCCCCCTCAATAAGCCTTGGTCGAACATGGGCAGAACAAGTGACTGTGCTTTTCAAACTAAGTGATACATTCATATCGGATATCCGAAAATTTGGATATTTGTTTATTCCGAATGGATTTGGATCATAATTTTAGTTATCCAAAATGTCACATATTCGAATTTTCGAATTGGATCGGATATCCGAATTTGCACACCCCTAGACACCGTTGCTCGAACTCAAGATCTTTAGGAATATTAGCTTTTTTTTTTTTACCACTGAGACTACTTGATGCGTTCAATTTTTAATGGAAAAAGATGGGTTTAGAATATTAATAGTCAGGTGATCATTTTATAATTTTTACTAGTCGAAGAATTCAACAAAGTAACATCCTATAATCATAGAATCATTTTATAATTTCTAATAGTCTGGAAACTCAACAAAATAACGTGCTAGAATAGAGAGGTCATTTGTATACTTTATTCAATATTTTACTTATTTTTAGATAAAATATTGATTTATGTCTTATCGTAGTTTTGATTTTTAAATAAATCATCCCTCTTGCTTCATAAAGAAAAAAAATTAAATATTTTTAATAAATAATAAATTACCCATAGTTTTCTTTTTTTAAAAATAAAAAACAGTATCCTTTTCGGCCACGAAAATCACTATCGGATGAATCCGTACACAATTCAATCTCTCCCTCTGTATATAGACATAAAATCCCTTGAAAAACCCAAACTAATTCTATCGTAATCAGTAACCGAAAGCAATTTTACTCTTTTTTGGACGACAATGGCGATGACGGCCATCACTCAAGTATATTGCTCTCACTGTCGCTGCTACAACAAGGCGGCCATAAAAGCTGACTACCTGTAAGCGCCTCTTTACTTCACTCTGATCTATCGGTTCGTTTTTCCTTCTTTTTTTCTTCCTTGCTATGAATTTAATTGTACGGCGATGAACGCCGGACCGATCGATCGATCCGATTACAGATCGTGTTCGACTTGTGGAAAATCGATATGCAAGGCCAATGTAAAGGGAATTCTGAGGTTGCAGTTGGTAAGGATGAAGATTACTTCTCCAAGGTTTAAAAGATCCGGGAGAGCTCTTTCGCCATTAGAGGAGGAGACTGTAGCTCAAATATTTAGCGATTTGAAGATGTAAATATGACCTGTTTCTTCAACCATCAAAGGCTAATTTTCTTGGAATCGTTTTATGAATTAATTAGAATCGTTGAAGACTGTTTTAGTGAACAATTACGAGTTTATTTATTTACATAATATTTTTAATCGAAACAATTTTAAATGATTATTTTATTAAAATCAATTTACTTTTACATATAATAATTCAAATCGAATGGAATTTAAATAACATATATTAGAATTTGCCGTCCAGTTTTTTCCTTAAATAATATTTAATTTACATTGTTATAAAAATAAAGAAAATAAAAACACAATTACGTAATATTAATTTAAAAATAATATTTTAAATTTAACATCAATTAACTTTTCTAATAATACCAATTCAAGTAGAAATTCAATTAATAATTTTTTATAATACAAGAGTTTGGCCCAATCATTAATATAGTTAAAAAAATGGAAAAAGGAAAACATTTTTTATTTAAATCACCCATATCGAAATTAAGTTTTAAAAATATATATTTGAAAATTCAAGGTTTTTGAAATATATTTTTACATATTTTTATCAATAATAAATTTTTAATGATAATTATTCAAAGTTTAAAAAATTGATAAAAAGACAATAAATAGACATATAATTATGTTTTTATTTTATTTTTATCAAATATGAATTTCAGAACCATGATCCCTTTCACACACGTAAAAGGATTTTTACAATCCGATCATCTTATTTATAAATTTATAATAATAAGTTCACTCAATTTAATAATTGTTACAATCAAGTCATCAATTTTTTTTTTGAGAATACAAGTCATCAATTGTGACTAAAAGATTAACGTTCGTTGCATAATTCACAATAAGTGTGTTTGTAGCAATCATGTATAATCTTACTAATAATACATATTATTTCTACTATGGAAACATATCATTTTAATCAAGAGTGGTTAAGAGTGTTCGATGGATCGAACCGAAACCGAGCTGCTTATTTCGGAAAAATCCATCGTAAAATAGGAACATCAAAATAAAGCAATAATTATAACAAAACACAAGCAACAATGACATGCAATGATATGATACGATATAAAATGAAGATTAAAATCCGAGGGAGAATTGCATATTGTGATCTAATTTTATGTTGAAAGCTTAAAGCTTATATAGCATGTAGCCATACCAGATGTTATGTCTTCACCTTCGAGTTAATGCTGCTTTTGTTATGACCGTTCACCGGATTCTTCTAGGCAGCAACCGAGCATCGATCGCTTTGTCTACCCTTACCATTCATCTCGATCTGAAGTCTGCGCCGCCTCATTCTATTCTCCAAACGTATCCCTCTTAGAGCTCGGGCCCTCTGCTCGATTTCTAGAGCTTGCGAGAAGTTCCAAACACGAACAACACCTTCCTCACCTCCGCAGACGATTCGATCTGCTCCGATATCGACCGAGTACAGATTGCACCCGAATCCATGCAGCATTCTCTGGGGTGGTTCTATAGTATTTTGGTCAGATTCTTTAACCTTTGGAACACTTTTCCTTAATGGCTGCCTACTGGCCCTCAACAACTTTCGAACATCGATTAAAGCGAGTTTCCCATCACTGGAAGCTGAAACAAGCCAAGGAAACTCAAATGCGAGGGCATAAACGGCTCCAAAGTGAGGAATCCATGTTGCAACCTGCACGACGGTATGTCCCTTAGACTCGATTATGATCTCGAACATATGTACTGCCCCATCTTCTCCTCCGGAAAAAAGGAAGTCTCCAGTGCGGCTCTGTGCTAAGGCATATGCATAACCAACATGAGCATTGCGAATGACACTTAACAGAGTCCCACTGTTAGTCTCCCAAACATACACATCCGAACCAGACGTGCTCGCAACAGTCGTGTCGTGAGGAACAAGGCTCCAAACCCAGTCACCATGCCTCAATATCTGTGTGCACTTAAGTGATGACCGGTTCCAAACACGAACCGTCATATCCCAAGAACCACTATATATCCTAGTAAGGTTCAAAGCAAGAGAAGTTATAGGCCCCTCGTGTTCCCAAAGCCGAAGTTCGGCGTTCGGTTTCTCAACACCCGTTAGGTCAAACAAATGCTCAAGACCCTCAACTGCCTTCCAACAATGGATAAATCCATTAGTACCCCCAGCAACCAATAGTTTCGTATCCGCTGCAACTGCCCTAATAGTACAACCAAGTGGCCGGGACGACGAGATTGACAACCCACCCTCTTCCATATCCCACATACGAACAATCGAGTCATATCCGGCAGTAAAAATGAGCTTGGCAGAAGCCAATAAAAACACGGTTCGAACAGCTTCAGTATGACAGCGTAGAACATCAATGCTATACCTTCCTAAAAAAGTCTTGCACCTATGCTCCCTCTCCACAAACAATTCCTTCCATGACTTCTCATCTGAAAACAGAGCTGCGGTCGGTAAACCCCACCTCTCACAATAAAATTCCTTCCAAACCTGATGCTCAGATGCAATATTATGGAGAGCGGTCGACACACAAGACACTACACCAAGCTCCTTAGGGTCAAGACAATTCAAAATCTCCGATATCAAGGCTGGTGGGAGATCGGTGATCGTGCGCGAGAAATTCGAACAAACATCATTAGGAGGTAACTTTTTCGAATTACAATAACTCGGACTCCCTTTCTTAGGATTACAACCCAATGTCAGTTTCGAAAGTTCTAAATCCTTGGTTACGGAATTGGAACTAAAACGATTTGTTTCACAACAGTTTGCTAAATTCTTTAAAGCCTCGATGCTTTCCTGGCACTCAAATTCCATAAAATGAATGAATTCTTAACCTAAAACTTAAACCAAAATCCCTCTGATTGGGAAGCTTAAAAAAGGAAATTTAACCCAGAACCTCAACTTGCTCCTAAAATCAAAGATGCCCAAATCTAGCAAACCCTAGAAATTAAAACCCAAAGCGTTCAAATCAAACTACAGCAAGTTAAAAAAATCAGAAAACATCCAATAAATTTGATTACAGGACCAAATTAAAAAATCCAGAAAAAAGAACGATACCTCTGACGATTGATAATTCGTCCTTCGGATTAACAGAATACGAGAAATTAGAGAACTATGCTTAGGAAATTTGGGGGCACAAGCAGTGAAAGGGTGACGAGTAGACTTTTCATCACCGTTCATTTCCAAGAAAGGATCGGACGGTAGACAAGATGAGATCAGTTGTCATTGAATATTATGGGACGTTGGATTAGAATGGGCTGCGCCCCCAAACATGTAGGCTGGTTAAAATGTTTCTAGGTTCTCACTATTTTAATATATATATAGGGTTTATTTGCCAATTGCCCCCTAAACTATACCTATCCTTAGATCCAATAGATTCCATAATTTTATTTGGTTGAATCTATCATTAATATTTATTTGAATAGTTATTTTTGTTTTTATTTTTTTAAATATCTTTTAACTTTTAATCTTTCATTTTTATCAAAATAGTTTTTTTATAAATATGATTAGTTGATTAACGGTCAACACTTCTTATTATTGATGTTATATTTTCATGTGTTTAATTATTAACATAACATACATTATATCATATTAACAAAAAATTACAAAAAAAATATGAATATTTTGACCTCTATATATATATATATATATATATATATATATATATATATATATATATATATATATATATATATATATATATATATAATGAGTATAATAACTTTAATAAAACTATGTCATTTTTCTCTGAATTTATTTATGGGTAAAGTATAAAAATAATCCCCTGACTATATAGTGTTTCTTTGTTAAATCCTTCGACTATTAAAAGTTATAAAACGGTCCCTCGATTATAGAATGTTGCTTTGTTGAGTCTTCCAACTATTGAAGTTACAAAATGGTCACCGACTATTCATTATGTTCCAAATTCATCTTTTTTCGTTAAAAATTGACGACAGTCTGAGTTGAACGTTAATTTGTTGTTCGAGATATGATTAAATTTGATCCCAGAATCTCAAACGACTATCATATCTCAGACAACATATTAACATCCAGCTCAGACAACCGTTGATATTGTAGCAGAAAAGGATGAGTTTGGAACATAATGAATAGTCGGATGACCATTTTGTAACTTTTAATTGTTGAGGGACTCAAAAAGCAACATCCTATAATCGAGGGACCATTTTATAACATTTAATAGTCGAGAGACTGAACAAAACAACGTTATATAGTCGAGGGATCATTTGGTGTGCTTTACCCTTCATTTATTTTAATAAGTTTATGATCTGATCAAACGGAATCTAGATCATAAATTTTAACCTGAAATCAGTTATGATGCTCAACGATATGGCTGAACCCATAACACGCAGTAGCATTATAGCCTTGACCAGTTTCTTGCATTGCTCGTTGATTTCCTAGCGAATAGCAGGAAGTGGTGTTTCTCGAACGTGACAAAACGGAGCAAGAGTGTTTATGCAAGTCGCCAATTCAAGCTCTATGATTAGTTTGTGCAAGGAGCACGCGAGTTGTTAAAAAATTAGTTAAACTACCCATTTACTCATCTGCCTATTCCAACGTTTCTGTTTTGGTCACTACTACATTTTTAAAATTCTAACATTACATTTTGTTTCTGTTTTGATCACTCGTCTTTAAAAAACAAGGTTGATTTTGAAAAATCAAATAAATACCATAGCAATATTACCATTTATTTTCTAACATGTGATCAAAACAGAAACAAAATGTTAAGGTTAAAATATGGAAACAGAAATGTGATCAAATAGGTAGTTTATCCACACACAAAAATGAAGATAACTTGGCCAAAACAATGATACTAGAAAGCTTAGATGGAACTAGTCTTGGAGTTCTGTATATAATAAGAAAAAGAATGTTTATGTATCATATTACAGTACCATGCATTACATTCCTGCAAAATCCCCTACTATTTTGTCAGTGTGATTAAAATTCTATATATCTACCCTTTACTCCCAACCCATTCTCTCCATTCGAAGAAAAATGATCGAAATCCGCAGCACCGCTATTTTCCGAATTTAAAAACAAGCGGTATACTCGTATCCGACACTCGCTTCAAATCCGGATACATAAGAATAACTCCCTCCTCCCACCAACCAATTTCTTCTACTCTTAATGTGCTCAGACTGAATATTTGCAAAATCTTTTATTCGATTTCCTATTGTATAATTTGTGTAAAGCACAAAAAAGCTGGGATGAGAAGAGCAAACCCTAGCCAGTCGACCGATATACCCATTTTCGTGTGGCTTCTATTCATCTCTTCTTCACTGGCATACTTAATATCCGAAAAATCAATATGCAAGGGTTATGGTTTAGTTTAAGTAATCGTTGTCGTCTGTTAACAAAGCAAATGAGAAAGGTTTGAACTTGTACCCATCACCGTGGTAGAATTTGTTTTGAAATTCCACCCAGTGAAGACGCAGGGCGTGAAGGAAAGCACTGAGGGTCTCCATCATGAGAAGTATGAAAGCAGTTGCGAAAGCAAACACCGCGAGCCCAATTAATCGAATGATGAAGCTGTCGTACCTGTAATAATCATTGTTCATCGAGTCATTATCATCTACACATAGAACAGTTACAAGGACCAAGAGAGTAGTGAATGATTAAGCACATTGAGCACGTGAAAACATGGCACGTATTAGCATATCGAGAATCTACTTTGTGCTACCCGATGAAGTTATTCAATTCACACTCAAAAACCATAACCTAGGAAAGAGAACTTGAAGAGATAGACAATGTAGAAATATGCACAAGAGTAACATGCACCATGTAGAACAGTAAAATAACTCACCCCCATGCAAGTAGTAGGACTTTCTCGTAGAAAACAGTTGATAATTCAGAGTGCGCCAAGCTGTAACGTATTAGAAGCAGAAATTAACCAAACATTTATTTATGAGATGGTGCAACACATTAAAACTCAGAAAATCGTAGTTCCTACCTCAAAGCCCAAAGTCGAAGATACGATGCCATGTTCGAGACAGCACCCAGAACAAACTCGATCGAGTGTATCATTTGGTGCACAAAAACCTCACTAAAGTTGAACTCCTCATGATGTTGACGTGCAGAATCAGGTTCCACGTCAAGATCAAACTCGGATGTACCAAGCAAGCCATAGGTGCGACATTGAAATCTCTAAAACATATTGAAGAAAGAAAGTTCAAATAATCAACAAGACATTCATTCGAAGTATTCCAAATTTATTCTAACAGAAGAAACAGCAAATTAGGATTAAGAAAGCAAGCCCCAAGAAAGGCCAACCACGTAGTACCTCAGAATTAAGCAAAACGTATGAGAAAGCATCCGGTATTCAACATAAAGATTTTAACCCAAATCTTTCCAAAAACACAACATTAAAAATGGAAACGGAAAACAGCATTCACCTCATGTGCTACTTGCCTTGCTATCATATTATACTTCTTTTTAATTTTTCCCTTCAGATTTGCACAGTAATTTCTATCATGTTTGATGGAACAAAGAATAACAGGACAGGTAAAAAGCTTAACTCTTTAACAATGGCTTGAATATGAACTTGATACAAAATATAGAAGTACTTATGGCTAAAGCATGGACAGCATTCAGGAAATCACAACTGGAGGAATAATTAAATATTACAGATTTGACCTTTTCAGTAAATAGGGTGCAAATAAAGTAGGATACAAAAGACTAACATAGCAATTTACAAAGGCATTTAGAGGAGCGAGGGAAGATAAAAAAGGGTAAAACACTAACATGACTCTATCAAGTGAAAACTGGAAAGAAATTGATAAATAAATGCAAGAAATGCTCCCTAACACATTAATATCTAATAGCTGAGAGAAAATGAGCCAATAAATTTACCTTTTGCAAAACCAACTTGAACTCAAGGATCTCATTGTATGTTTGTTGAAGTTTTTCACTGTTGGCGTTCATTTCAATTAGTTCATGCTCGTGCTTGGCAAGTTGTATCTGAAATTGTATCAAACACAACATATGATACACTTTATCCACAAAAGACTACTATATCCTACATTAACTATTATTACATCAATAAACTGCTGGAATAACAAAATGGAAAATGCAAAGCAAGTCAAAGGGGGAAAGGAGTCATTATTTGGTAGGGGTAGAGCAGATGAACCTCTAATTCTTCCAATTCTAGATCTGGCTCCACAACAGGGTGTACTGAAGATAGTAGACCAGCTTTACTAATTTGATCTTTGAAAAAGCGTAGCTTTCTTGACATTTCTCCACAACGCTTCACCTGTTAAGGCCTCTCAGAAATTAAAGTGACTACTGTAGATGATAATCACTAATCACTCAGGTTGATTCACTTTAATACTACAATGTATATATAATCAATTACACAAGGATATATCTAAAGAATTGGTAGGTTCTCTCATTCAACTGACCTTGAAAAGTTTTTAAATAATACTTGATATTTGCTCATTAAAACAAATATTTAATAATTGATTAGTAGGCCAGAACATATAGCACAAAACTAAAACTATGCCATTAGTACATACCTGATTAACAAAGGTTCGTTGGAAAGGACTTTTCTCAGAGTTTAGCTGCCACAGGAGATACAAAAGTACTTAACCATTAGCATTTTAAATTGATGGTTGTACAAGTAATGTCCTGAATTTAGTTAGCAACCAAAACACAGCCATATGGTTATAATACCAAAGGACCATTTTACCAGAATAAGGAGATGACACCGGAAACAGTCTTAACAACTTCAAAAGCAAAAAATAATAATTAATTAAAAATCACCAAAAATCCATCAGAATATGTATGCCGAGAACATAGAAGCAAAAGCAATTCAGGACTAAAGATATTCAAGCTCAGTAGACATTTGGAAATATTTTCATTCCCAAGAAAACTCTCATGATATCAGAGCACCAAGACTGGGTTACAGTACATAATATCAATGCAATATTATGAAAATTCTAGAAATGGATATTTCCAAATCGGTCATCTTGCTAGACAAATGCATGCGAAATTCCTCACTGGCTTCTCATTAATGAGAGCTGCTGGAAATGTGGTATTAATGATTTTCGAAGACTCTGCTTCATTGAGAAGTGTGAAAAACGATAAATCAGAGACTCTCGCAGAGTGGTTCTCCATAGTCGAAGCTTGGTCAGAGAGTTTGGTAATGGAGTGTCGCTGAGTATGGTTAGTTTGCGAGGGTGTTCCGTTTCACGCATGGAATTGGGATACTTTCAAGAACATTGCTGATAGTTGGGGTCAGTTACTAGCAATCGATGAAAGCTGTCAGTCACCATCATCCTTTGATCAGGCAAAAATTCAAGTCCTCGCAAAAGCTGGTGCGAGAATTGATGCGACGTTGGATTTAAAGGTTGGTGACAACTCCTTCAAGATCATGGTGCATGAGATAGAGCCTTCATTCAAGTCAAACTCTTGGCCTCCTGAAGAAGACGAATCTCATTAGATCTCGTCTTTCTATTTGTGGTTTGATTTAGTTTATATGGTTGCAGATGTTGCTTTTCTTTTGTAGTATGTTCTGTTGCGTTGTTTTAATCCTATTGATGGAGGTGTAATTAGAAATTAGGTGATTAGATTGTGACTTAGGATGAGGTTATATGAGGTTAAGAGTAATGGTGTATATCACCATAGGAGGATATTACATGTAATCTTTTGTATTGGGTATTATTATCAATAAACTTTGAGGTACTCTTTTCTTCCTTCCAATGTTCATTAACATACTTCTTAGTATGTGAACGAATATGAAGGGAGTTTTTAATGAGACCTCCAACTTCTATCAAAAAAAAAATTCTAGAAAATGGATATTTCCAAATCAAGGTCTCAATAAAACAGTCTTTAAGGTGCACGTAGTCTGACCCTTTAACATCTTCGCAGCAAGTTTCAACTTGTTATCAGTCATCACCTAAATCCAGACTCTTACACTCAATCAATCATGCATGAAACCAGCAGGTTTTAATTACAAAACCGATATACATATGGATATTTTTAGTTTTCCAATATACATATTTTTTAAATAAGTTTTTCAGTCATTACTACTTATTCATAATAGAAACATTTCTTCCTGAAAAAGTAACATATTTTGAATCCCATGCTCCATTCGTATAAAATCAGCAAAAAACACTACATTTCATTCGTTGGATTAAACACTAACTCAGCTAATTGCACTTCTATTTAGGTGGATGCGGGTTCCAACTTAGGACTTGTAAGCCCACCAAAAGCTCCCAAATAAAGCAAACCTCATTGAAAACATTAAATGTCTCTTTACTTATAGGCAAAACTTAATGCAATGTCTAAAGTTAACACAATATTACCTAAAAAGGCAATCAAAGGGCACGGGTTCTATTCTAACAGATTCGTTTTGATCTTCTATTTTCTTTTAATTATGCCGTCAAACTCTCCTACATTTGTCAACTTGCATCATCATCAAACCTTTAATTGAATTATCGTGTGGTATATCCACACCGATAAATAAATAAGGGTAAGTTACATATATATAGTATCTAAATTATTAGTTTTGATTCGTTTTAATACTTTAACTTTTTTAACTTTTTTTTCAAAATCATATATAACATTTAGTTTTCATTTCATTTTACTACCTCGCCGCTAAAACTTAGAGCGTTTAGTACCTAAACTATCAGTTTTTGTCCATTTTTGTACAAAAACTTTCAATTTTTTTAAACTTAACGTTAAATTTTGAACGGAGATATTAAAATGAAACAAAAATAAAAGTTTTTAACGACGGGTAATAAAATGAAGCAAAAATTGAAATTTAGGTGTGATTTTAAAAATACAAGTTTAAGTCCTACAATAAACAAAAACCAAAAATTTAGGTACTTAACACATAATTTACCCAATGAATAAAGATAAACATTTTATGTCATGCAGGATTTTTGAATCGTGTCATTCTCCTTGTAACTTTTCTCGGAACCTGTCGATGGAAAGATAAACCTCTAAACATTCCACGACAATATCAATTTAGAAGTATAATACATAATTATTGAAGTTTTGATTAGAGATGAGCAAACGATTCAAATACGACGGATTTTGATTTAATTTGATCTAAAAATGTCGAGGTTTTTTTTAATATTTGGATTAGGTCGGGTTTTTTAGAAGTTATGTTCGAGTCTTGTTTAAGTTGAAAAAAATCCAATTCGACCCAAAAATAATAATTTGACATTATATATTTAAAGATAATTACAAAAATACCCTTATATATATATATATATATATTCAATTAAATCTTCATGTTTCTTGATAAAAATAATTTTTTTAATAAATATATTATTTATGTTGGGTTTGAATTTTATCTCAAAAAGTCGGCTCGGGTTCAAGTCAATGAAGGGTGTATATTTTCCGGGTCGGGTAGAAGGTATATAATTTTTGGATCAGGTTGACCTAAATCTGACTCGTGTCCATCCTTAGTTTTGATCAATCACATAATTAAAAGGTTCTTCAACCATGTTATAAATTAGATATATTTATTTTGATAATATATATAATGTTAAGATTCACTTACATCGTGTAAAACCTTTTTTAATTTTACACGTTTTTAAAATAGTTAGATTGAGAGAAATCAAAAGCAAATGCTGAAATTAAATCATTTTTCTTAATGAATATCTTCTCATTATTTACTATCGATCTTAGCCTTTATTTTCTCTTATTTAGTGGTACTAAAAATATATAAAATTAAAAAAAATAGATAGTGTAACTCTATCCTGTATATATATATATATATATATATATATATATATATATATATATATATATATATATATATATATATATATATATATGTTTCCGGCAAGCAACATCAAAATTTGTTTAGTCAAACTCTAGTCTATGCCTTAGACTGCACCAACCACCTGCTTGATGTAATGTCGGACCGTCCCTTAACCCTGAATTCATGATTTGGGACTCCCCTCCTAAGGATTTGGGACAAAATGCCGACAATGTATCAACTTGCATATAACTTCTTTTATAATTATTTTATATATAATTTATTAATCAATTAGTTTATATTAAACACTATAAAAATATTATAAAACATTTTTTTAAAATTTAATTCAGAATAATATTTAAATTTGTAATCTTAAACAAAATAAATAACATCTTGTTTCGTTAACTATAGTTTGCATTAAAGTTTTTTAGTTGCCCCTCAATTTCAAAGTTTCATCTTGATTAATCTGGATCGACACGGGTCATATTTGATTTTAGAGGATGAGTTTTTTAATATGAATTTTCTATATACGTAAATACTCGAACTTAAAATATTACTTAATTGATATTAAATTATTTATTATTTCAACTAATATGTTATTAATTACATTAAAGTTTTGGTAAAACATTGCACCCACACTAATTAGCTTAGCTTAGCATAGCATAGCATAGGTGACACCGCCATGCTAGGTTGCTAACCTTACGTCCCATCCATCTTTAGATCTACGCCATCAATGTGATTGAAACAAGTGTGCCAAGTTAATGATTCTACAGAATATATACTTGTGTATCCCACAACTTTAATAATTAAATTATCAGTTTTAATATTTAAATTTTTAATTTTTTAAAATCACATTTAACGTTTAAATTTCATTTTATTTTAATATCCGTTATTAAAAATTTAAGACGTTTAGAACCTAAATTACTAATTTTGATCCATTTTAGTTCCTAAACTTTCATTTTTATAAAAAAAAACTTAACGTTAAATTTTGAACGAGAGTAATAAAATGAAACAAAAACTAAATTTTAAGTATGATTTAAAAAAATTAAAGTTTAAGTGTTATAACTAAATCATAATAAATATGAAATTAATCAGGATCTAATCATGCTAAACCATCAAAAATAAAATAAATACTAGATTAACGGAAGCGTATCTGAATTAATTGATATGTTAAAATCCTTAAATCTTTATTTGGTTGTGATCTTCTAAGAAAATAGAATTCCCTTAAGTATAAATTCTTTGACATGGATATAAGTAAATATGAGAGTGACTATTTTTTTGGGACCATAACCCCTTTTTATAACTAATTTAAGAATCAATTATTGTTTGTACTTATAACTCTGCCCCTCATCAAGTTATAAATACAACTTTAATGGTATCTACACTTTTATTTCCATTACATTTCTATTACTTTACGACTTTATAACATAATTGGTCACTTAATTTATATCATATTTTATGATAGCAATATACATTATAAATATATACTCATAATTATGGATTTTAATCAAACAATCTCCCACTTTAGTAACATATGTTTCATGATAAATGTATAACCTTAAAGAATAAGTGTCATACAATAGATATTCTATAATAATCACGTCCATGATATTTATATTACCTTATGACTTTATATCATAATTGGTGACTTTATTTATGTCATATTTTAAGATAACAATTTACGTTATAAATATGTGTCCATAATTATAGATTTAATTCAATATTAGATACTAAAATGAACTAAAACTGATAGTTTAGATATTAAACGCGTAATTTACATGTATGCTTATATGATAATATAATTAAATTAGATAAATTGATTGAGGGAACGTTGGGTACAATCGCACATTCTGAAAAATTGTATATAATTTAGGTAATCTTAAGTTTTATAATGACTCTAATCTAATCTCAATTTTAACATAACTTAATTTAATCCAATCATATCAAACGCCGAACACAAGAGGGACTTGAAGATATGCCTCCAAAAATTGGAAAATTATAGGGTAAACTACATAAATGACTATATAACTATGGACCAGATTGTGAATTGACTACCATTTTCAAAATTGTGAAAAATATACGACTGAACTATGTAAATGGGTTCAAAATGACCACATTACGTTAACATTTAATGGAGGTGTTTACGTGGCAGTTAAAAAAATTGGTATAATTAGGGCGCAAGTCCTTGTAAAGCTACATATTTGCGGCACTGGCACTCTGTTTTTTTTCCTTCCATTTTGGTCACTACTTGTATATGATTTGTTTCCTTGAATTTTCATTTAATCCAATTTGATCATGATTTTGTTTTTAATTTGTTTAATTCCTTAATTTGAGCATCAACTTTAAAATCTTTTTATTCTAGTCATGTATTCAATATTTAGATTAAATCCCCCAGATTTTAGAATTAATCAATTTATTCACCAATATTAACTTTAATTCTTAATTTTTAATTAGGTCCTAATTTCAATTTAATATAACAAATGTTGTTTAACTAGGTACTCGCATACCCGATACCCGATTTATTAATATTATATATATATATATATATATATATTTTTATATTAAATTTTTATTTATAATTCTCAAATTATTCCACTCTAACATTATAAATTCCTAATTTAATACATGACTAAAATAAAAGATTTTAAAGTTAATGCTCAAATTAAGGAATTAGACAAATTAAAAACAAAATCAGGATTAAATGAAAATCCAAGGAAACAAATCATATACAAGTAGTAACAAAAATGGAATAAAACACAGCAGGGTGCCAACGTCGCAAATACGTAACTTTACAAGGACTCATGCCCTAATTATACCAATTTTTTAACTGTCACGTAAACATATCCGTTAAATGTTAACATCGTGTGACCATTTTGAACCCATTTAAAAAGTTCAGTGGTATATTTGTTACAATTTTAAAAATGATAGTCATTTCGCGACCTGTCCTATAGTTATGTGGTCATTTATGTAGTTTACCCAAAATTATAATTTAAACCCTTAAAATTATAAAAAAATAATAATTTGGCATCAACAAAATATTTAGAAATTCAAATTAAGTTTTTATTTTTTTATTGTTTTTAATTATACTTTCTCAGAATTTTTAAAAAATTTCTCAAATTTCCAAATATTTTAGCTAGACTCTAATTTAAAAAAATGTAAATTAAACTATTCAATTTTTTTGAAAATTTTAATTTAAACCTCTATTTTTTTAAAGTTTTAAGTTGACCCCTCAAATTCCATCACCAAGTTCCGTCACTGAATCAATTTGATTCAAATTGAAACCCAGTTATATCGGGGGTTCATTCCTAATCATGGATGGACCAGGGGATGAGATGGGTGGAAACAGTCGTTGCTTCTGAAAATTTAAAATTATCATATATTTTAAATTTTTTTACGTATTTTTATTAAAAAAAATTTTTTGCTATCGCTAGCATTTTATAAATTTAAGTTTATCTCCTCACATAAAATTTTGAGGGTTTCTACGTGCATGCTTTTATCATGTTTTGGAAGCTGACAAAATAACTCACGTACCATATACGTTGCCAATTAGGGATATGATTCGTTTCGTAGTTTAATATTGTTAGAATAGCGTACGTTTGCAATTATTGATAACGGTAGTTTGTTTCGCAATTCCGTTACGGGATACTCTATCTCTCTCATTTAACCGTAAACAAAGACAAAAGCAAAGTCCGTTACCGATCATTACCGTTACGTCATCTTGCTCCCACCACCGTCCACTATTCTATCGTTCCTCACGTGATACCCTTTTCTATACTATAAATTTAAGGGTAAATTATGGATTTAGTACCTAAACTATTAGTTTTGATCTATTATACTACTCAAACTTTCAAATTTTCAAAACCATACCTAAAGTTTGATTTTTGTTTCATTTTAACACCCACAATTAAAACTTTAATTTTTGCTTCATTTTAGCATCCTCGATCAAAATTTCAGGTTAAGTTATGAAAAAAATGAAATTTTAGGTACTAAAACAGATCAAAACTGATAGTTTAGGTGCTAAACGTGTTAAATTTTTAACGGTGAGGTACTAAAATGAAATGAAAACTAAATGCTATGTATGATTTTTAAAAATTAAAAGTTTAATTACTAAAACAGACAAAAACCGATAGTTTACGTACGAAACACATAGTTTACCTTTTTTTTTATTAATATGGGTAAATATAAGGTAATATTTGTTCATTGATAACCCTCCACCATTTGACATTGAACACACACACTCCTAACACTCCTAATATTTGGGTCTCCCTCCATTCTCCTCCTCCTTCTACGGCGGATCCCACAGTGCATAGTTGCATCCAACCGAGATAAAAGGCGGGACCCACAAACAGCACAAAGAAACAACCAGTAACTAAAGCTAAGCTAAGCTAAGCTTATGTCTTTCCCTTCTTTTGCAGATGAGTAAGTTAATGAAAGCTTTCTTTGAGTGCAAGCCAATCATAATCATCTATATGTATAGGGGAAACTATTTCATCACTCAATTTGTTTCTCATTCTGTTTTGGTCACGAAGTTTAAATATCTTAAATTTATTCACTACTTTGATTCTGGTCACGATGTAGTAATTGATCCGAATTAGTCGATCAATTGATCGGATACCGATGGTTATACAAAAAAACCATGGTTTCATAATCCTTTTGATTTCTCGATAATGAAGTATATTCTTTCGAATCTCAGCATTAGGGAGGTGGGGAAAGGAGTAAGCGAGCTATGTATCTTAATTTCACATTGATTGAATGGGATATTCTAGGTTAGAGTGATTTAGGGTTTTACGACTTTTAGATCTAGGTTAGGTTTCTTGAGTTTCAAAGTGATTTTGAGAAAATTTAAAATGATAGATTGGTTGCAGACGATGATGAAAGTTCGTATGTATCTTAAATGGTCAAAGAAGACGTTAAATAATGGTGATTAACTAATTATAGTGTCGGTGGGATACAATGATAATATTGTAAAATTCTTATATTTAGAGGAAGAAGATGAAATCAAAAAGGAGAGAAAAAAAAGGGAAAATGATGTAGATGATTCATGTATTACATGTCAATAAAAAAAATCCCCATTAACACACGTGACTACCATGTCACCCATTCATTTATAATTTAATACTCAAGTGATCAAATAAGAATAAAACGAAAGTTTAATGAGTAAATTGCAAAAAAATTAAACTTTAATGATCAAAGTACGAGTGAAAAGAAAGTTGAATTATGAATTTGTAATTTACCCATACATATATATATATATATACATACATACACATATATATTAGGGTAAACTATGCATTTAGTACCTAAACAATCAGTTTTGCTATGTTTCTAAACTTTTAATTTTTTCAAAATCATACCTAAACGTCGCTAAAATCTTAACGCATTTAGTACCTAAACTATTAGTTTTGATCCGTTTTAATACCTAAACTTTTGATTTCCTCAAAACGTAACGTTAAATTTTGGATGAATTTACTAAAATGAAACAAAAAATAAAGTTTTTAACAATGAGATATTAAAATGAAACAAAAAATAAACTTTAAGTATGGTTTTGAAAATTTTGAAAGTTTAAGTATTAAAACAGACAAAAACTGATAGTTTAGATACTAAACACATAATTTACCCTATATATTATAATACACTTTCCCACTTTACTCTTTCTCTCCTTTATATGTGTATATATATAATGGGGGAAGGGTGCCCTTATTTATCTTCACTCGTTTCTTCTTCTTCTTCGTATGCTAGAGCTTTGTTCTTGTCGGAAGAAAAAAAAAGGACAAGTTGGAATTCTTGCAGGAGTGTGTCGTGTTCTTTTTTGTTGCATGGATGGATCCTTCAAGCAGACAATATCAGGTTCATATATGATCATAGTATATATGTGTGTTGTGTTATGGTTCGTCTGATTTGAGTTTTAAATTTGATTAATAGTCTTTGAATTATCGGCGAGACTCGAATTCTGATTCTTTTTCACGGTGCTGTCGAGATTAGAATTTTCAGGCGATGTCGAACCCGTCGACGACGGTAAACACGGCGGTTACGCAAAACGGAAACGAACAACAAGAGAGGAAACCAAGGCCACAACCAGATCAGGCTCTCAAGTGTCCGCGATGTGATTCGACCAACACGAAGTTCTGTTATTACAACAACTACAGCCTGTCTCAACCGAGGTATTTCTGCAAGTCATGTAGGAGATATTGGACCAAAGGTGGCACACTGAGGAACGTCCCGGTGGGCGGAGGCTGTCGGAAAAACCGAAGATCATCGTCATCGTCGTTGTCAAAGAGGACCGAGGATCAACCACTAATAACACCCAACAACACCGCCCTCCTGCCTCTGAATTACGACACAAGCGACCTCGGCTCAGCCTTCGCTAGGCTCGAGAAGCAAGCCAATGTTAATTTAGGGTTCGATGCTAATGAGTTTTCCATGCTCGGGAACCCTAGTGGCCTCACCTTCGTTGGGGACCGAAACGATTTTCAGGGCTTTTATAGCTACAATATCCCTGGGGAGGTCGACAACGGAGGCGGAACCGTGGCCGGTGTTAGTAGTGACACGATGACGATGTTACCGTACAACAACAACAACGGCAATGAAGATATTATCAACAGTGCTGTAATTACAACATCGAATGCGACGGTCTCGACAATGATGAAACAAAGCGAGGATCGATCCGTGTTATGGGGTTTGCCGTGTCAACTCAGTGGTGATCATGGGAGTTATAGCATGGCTGACCATGACTCGGAAAGAAAAAGCTGGGGTGGACTCAGTTCATCTTGGCATGGACTCATCAATAGCCCTCTAGTGTAGTAAATTTAAGTGATTTTTTTAGTCTCTCGTCTAGATTTTAAATTGATCTCGGAAATTCAAAACATTATAATTAAGTTCAAGCTGCTCAAGCTCTATAATAATCAGGTCGAAATCGAGTATCGAAACCAAATCAGATAGTCAAAGACAAATAGTTCAAGCTTCTGCCGTAATGATTCACATACACATCCAGCATCGAGATCGCGATAAAAATACAGATTTTGAGGTCGAAAGCTGTGTCGATCTCGATGCTGAAATGGGTCGACCTTATTATAAATACAAATAAGTTACAACAAAACTTTTCCCGATCGTCGGGAACTCAACTACTACATGTTTCTCCCAGATGTATACTGTCAAGCAAGAAGAACAGTATGTGAAAATTACCAGATTCATCTCTGTTTTCGGTTCTGTAGGATGTTCTTTACATTCATGCCTGCAATGTAAACACCGGGAAATATCAGATATCGATATAGGGCATCGTTCTACGAATAAACAGAAAAACTCGAACATTTTAGTATCAAACACGTAATAGACACTCATTCTGGGTCTAGGTAACATAGAGGCTTCGATCGAACAACCATTGTAGCCATTTACGTTCACATCGACACTGTACCTTTGCAGCCATTTACGTTCACATCGACATTGTACGATAGGAGGTAGACTAAGACATGAAAATGTGCCCTGGATAAAAAACCTACTAAATGTGATTTTTTATGCACGTTATCCTTGATATCGAATTTACCATTTGAAACAATGGACGTGGTTTAGATGAAGAAAGTAAGGGATATTGAAGAAAGTAAGGGATTCTGATATCTTAGATCATTGCCGATACAAGAGGCCGGAGTTCGACGAAATTTCAGGTGATAAGAATAGTGGAATTCATTGAGTGTTCAACCTATGTAAAAACTAGACAGAAACTGCTTGAGCAGCAACTTGAATATGATGAAATTTTGGGGATAAGAATAATGAGACTCTCCGAATGTTCGACCGACGTAAAAACTTGACAGAAACTGCTCGAAAAAGAAAATGTTCAACATGAACTGATCGAGAACTTATAAGGATGAACAAATTTATAATGGTCCTACGCTACTCCGAGCCATAACTAAATTGCAGAGTACTAAACAAGAAAGAAAGCCTCACTTTAAAAAAGCATTATAATTGTTCAACCTCAATGGGCAAGAACGGAAAACGAGATCGACAAACAAGAAACTGAGCTACCAGATTTCTTAAAACATTACATATGGATGTTAAGTACCTTAGCCACCGATGTGTATCATCGGTCTATTTGCCGTCTTTGCAATGTCAAACATCCCAGCATGTGCAGCTTTCTTCCTCTTAACCTGATCCAAAGAAGAAAAAAATGATTATGCATGCGGTGCAAGAAAAGGAAAGAAGACTCGACCTATTTCTCCCCTAACTTTGAGCACGAATCGATGCTACCATGATTAATCGACTAGCCATATAACTCATTAACCACCCCGGTTTCGAAGAAAACAGAGAGAGTGAGCATGATAACCAAAAATCCAGAAGAAAACAGAGAAAGCAGTGCTTGTCATTGCATGGTAACAAGTTTTGAAACACGATTTCATCAAGTAAAAGCCTAATAAAGTATTCTTAAGCAGCAACCATACCGCTGCTCCGATTATTTCTCTCAGTTCGTCGTCACCAGCACCGGATCGAAGAGGATCTCTTAAGCTAACCTGAGAGAAATCAACACTAGTAAGGAAGATATTGAAAGAAATATCAGACGCAGAACGGCGAAGATCATATCGATATTTAACTCGGAAGGGTCTAAAACATGTTTAAAGGCCATAGGTTCACCTCTGAAGGACCAAAGAGGCATACTTTTAAGTTGCCATCAGCTAAAAGTCTCAATCTATTACAACCGGCACAAAAATGCTCACTCATCGATGTAATGAAAGATGCAGTACCGGCATGGCCATCGATCCGGAAATTCTTTGCAGTCTCCGTTGGATGATCATGCAACCTCTTCAGGGCCGGAAACTTTTTCGTCTGTCCGATAACAGAGAACAAGAAATTAGTTAGTTGTGAAGCAAGAAACAAGCATAAACAAATGTGCAAAAGCAACATAAGAGTTCTAACTTACCATAGTATCCAACATCTCTGCATACGGCACGAGTTTCTTGACATTCCATACATTTCCATCAAAAGGCATGAACTCGATGAATCGAACATTAATCGGTTTCTCACGAGTGAGTTCAACAAAATCGCACATCTCGTCACGTTAAAACCGCGCATGACAACACAATTGACCTGAAAGCAACCAGAAACAGACCCAGACACACTTAAAAGTAAAAACACAACAACATAAAAACAAGATAGTCAATGATCCAAGTGTAACAACATACTTTCACAGGGTTGTACCCAAGATCAATGGCCGAATTAATGGATTTGATAACCTTGTGATGCCCTTTACGCCGAGTCATAAACTCGAATTTCGAAGGAACAAGCGTGTCTAAGCTGATATTCAGATTGGTAACCCCACATTGTTTCAACAATGGAAGCTGCCTAGCAAGAGTGATTCCATTAGTGGTGATTGCCAAAGTCTTAAGCCCTTTCAAGCTAGACAAATCCATGCAAATATCCCGAATATCCTTCCGGACGGTCGGCTCACCGCCGGTTAGCCGAATCTTCTCGACACCGGATGCGACAAAAAGATTAGCCAAACGAATGATCTCGCTGTGGGTGAGTAATTGCGGCGACGGCGTTAGCTCCACCCCTTCCGCCGGCATACAGTACTGACACCGGAGGTTGCAACGCTCCGTCAAGGAGATTCTCAAGTAACTGTGCTTCCTTCCAAAGCTATCAACCAACATATTGGAAACTTGATTCCCTTTCTCCTTATCATCGACTTCTCTATTTATCAGATCCTCCGCCGTGTTTGAACCAAAATTTCTATACCTCTTATCCACCTGAACAAATTTAAACCCAGTTTTGCAATAGTAACATATGATTTAGACATCCATTTTTCAAATCAAACAAATATAGAACTCGGGTTTACCCCCACAAGAAAACAAACTGGGAAAGAACCAAAAACACGTTTTTTTTCAGAAGGAAAGAACTGAAAGAACATTGAAGAAGAAGAAGAAGAAGATACCCGGAAGAAATTGAAGCTACGAGAGGCGAAAGGCAGAGAGCAGTTGGTAATTCTAGAGGCGTAGCGTTTCATGATAGTAAGCAAATGCTGCTCGTTGTTTATCTATAACACACACATATAAAGTATGAAACTTTATTTTTTTCCCTCTTTTTCTAAGTATAAGCTTTCCTTTTATGGATAATAATTGGGGTACTTGTGCGGCTAAAAAACAGTTAATATACGGCGTGAACAGTTAAACAAGTGATCGGTTAAAATTTAGATCGATTATGTTATATTATTTAATTGAAAATATTATCAAGTACAATAACATATTAGGTAACGCTTATATAATGTAATAGATAGCGCTTATATAATAAAATAGGTATTTAACGGGAAATATTATCAAATACAATAACATATTAGGTAACGCTTATATAATGTAATAGATAGCGGTTATATAATAAAATAGGTATTTAACGGGAAATATTATCAAATACAATAACATATTAGGTAGCGCTTATATAATGTAATAGGTAGCGCTTATATTGACCTATTTTATAAGTAAATCGGTATATTTATACCGGTAACATTACAAATTTACCTATTACATTATAATTATCGGTTTCGATATTTCATAAAGTGTCGAAACTTTTTATAAAAGTATCGACACTTTATGCTTGCACCTCGTTGGGCATTAATATTTCATTCTGGAAAAAAATATCGACACAAACTAAAAACGCGTCGATACATGATTTAAACCTATTCTCTCATAAAACCGGTATAATTATACCGGTTTCATTGACCATTTACCTATTACATTATACTTATAGGTTTCGATGTTTTAGGGATCGATATTTTTTTAATAAATGTATCGACACTTTTTAAGGGTAAACATTTTTTGGCATTCATTTTAGACCGTAAGTATCGACACTTTATGCTTGCACCTCGTTGGTTTTAATATTTCATTCTGGACAAAAATATCGACACAAACTAAAAAAGTGTCGATACATGATTTAAATCTATTCTCTCATAAAACCGGTATAATTATACCGGTTTCATTGAACATTATACTTATGGGTTTCGATGTTTTAGGGATCAATATTTTTTTAATAAATGTATCGACACTTTAAGGGTACACCTTTTTTTACATTCATTCTAGACCGTAAGTATCGACACAACTTTAACAAGTGTCGATACTATATGCTGACCTATTTTAGCATAAAATCGGTATATTTATATCGGTTACATTGTAAATTTACCTAATACATTATAATTATTGGTTTCGATGTTTTCGGGATCGATACTTGTAATAAGTGTCGATACTTTATGTTGACCTAATATATTATGCGTGCACCTCGTTTGGGTCGATACTTGTTACATTGTTAATTTACCTATTACATTATAATTATTGATTTTGATGTTTTTTGGGTCGATACTTGTAGTTATTGTACATACCTAAATATGTACTGCGAATTTAATATTGTACCCACCCTTTAACTACCACTACCAATATCACATCCTATTGAAAGCAGCACGACTGAAACATGTTCAAAATGAACATTTGCTTACATCTCCATCAACTCCTGGACCACTGAACTTGCACAACAAAATTTTTGCCATGGATAATACTGATGTAGACAATGTTAAGCCAACCGATGAATGCCATGAAGTACATAATGTTGATGAATCTGACAAATTGGTTGGTCAGCTCTTCTGTTCACGTGATCAAGCTTGGTACTTTTACAAGGGATTCGCACGGGAACATGTGTTTAGTGCACGTAAGGGAACAACACGGCTTGACGTGGAAGGGAATATGAAGACACAAGAATTTTGTTGTTCCAAAGAAGGGTTTCGAGTATCAAAAGTCAATACTGTTGATCGTCAACGTGCTCATACGCCAGTCACGAGAACAGGATGTAAGGCTAGAGTCGTAGTTACAACAACAAATACAAACGATCAGCGGGTGGACTTCCGTGTCGCCATCAACTTTACATTTTGAAGCACTTGGACTACACATATTTGCCCGAGACTTTGATTCAAAGTAGGTGGACTAATGATGCGAAGGCTTCTGCACCTAGTTATGTTGATTTGAATGTGTCTCCAGAAGTGATGCAAATGGCAAGGTTCGCTGCTATACGTTCAACGTCAAGTAGGTTATGCTACATTGCATCAAAGACAGACGAGTCTTTCAAAACCGCAAAAGATGAGATGAAAAAACTAATAGAAGAATTAGAAAACTCGTTTGGTTTGAATGATTCAGTCAACCAGAGCATTGTAGTAAACAACGTTCGTGACCCTCAACGAAAACAACGCAAGCGAAAAGAAGTGTCGAAGAACAAGGTCGATAAGAAAATTAGGCGATGTGGGTACTGCAACGGTGAGGAACATAACAAACTAACATGTCCTCAAGTCAAGCTCAGTTTGAGTACAAGCACACAGCCTACATCAACTGATTTTTTCGAAGACGGAATGAAATGACAACGATCTCCATATATCGTAAGTATCAACATGACTCCTATTGTGTATAAGAAACATGTACATATAAATATTTTGAATGAAGAAAGAAAAACCGCATTACTTAAAATTAGCGACACAATATTAAAAAGTGTTGATATAGGTTGTAGACCTATTCGCTCATAAAACTGGTATATTTATACCGGTTATATTACAAAATTATCTATTACATTATAATTCTGGGTTCCGCTGTGTAAATGTCGACACTTTTTGACAAGGTATCGACACATTTTTCTTCCATTCTTGACATAAAATACCGACACAATATTAAAAAGTGTCGACATAGGTTGTAGACCTATTCGCTAATAAAACCGGTATACTTATACCAGTTATATTACAAAATTATCTAGTACATTATAATTCTGGACATAAAGTACCGACACAAAATTAAAAAGTGTCGATATAGGTTGTAGACCTATTCGCTCATAAAATCGGTATATTTATACCGGTTATATTATAAAATTATCTATTACATTATAATTCTGGGTTCCGATGTGTAAATGTCGACACTTTTTGACAAGGTATCGACACATTTTTCTTCCATTCTGGACATAAAGTACCGACACAATATTAAAAAGTGTCGATATAGGTTGTAGACCTATTCGCTCATAAAACCGGTATATTTATACCGATTATATTACAAAATTATCTATTACATTATAATTCTGGGTTCCGATGTGTAAATGTCGACACTTTTTGACAAGGTATCGACACATTTTAATGTCAATTCTGGACATAAAGTACCGACACAATATTAAAAAGTGTCGATATATGTTGTAGACCTATTCACTCATAAAACCGGAATATTTATACCGGTTATATTACAAAATTATCTATTACATTATAATTCTGGGTTCCGATGTGTAAATGTCGACACTTTTTGACAAGGTATCGACACATTTTTCTTCCATTTTGGACATAAAGTACCGACACAATATTAAAAAGTGTCGATATAGGTTGTAGACCTATTCGCTCATAAAACCGGTATATTTATACCGATTATATTACAAAATTATCTATTACATTATAATTATGAGTTCCGATGTTTTTTTAATCGACACTTCTTGAAAAGGTATCGACACATTTTTCTTCCATTCTGGACATAAAGTATCGACACAATATTAAAAAGTGTGAAAACTTTGTTGTGGATATCATGGAAAACAATGATATAGTAATGTGTTTCGATACATTTGCAAGCAGATGTAAAATACATTAATAACTAGTATTGATATTTCAATAATCCTCAAATGTATATGTATACAGAGAAGCAAATATGAAATAATTAATGAAAATATACACACAATATAATCACACCAAAATATACATACACAAGAATGTTCAAATAATATACCGACAAACGAAATTAATCCGATGAAAAAGAGATATTTCTAACGAAGTCCGAAACATTAGGATTAATATGTTGTCATGAAATATTTAAATATAACTCACAAAGCAATATATTTCATTTACTCCGATTCTAACTCACTATTCCATAAATAATCACAAATTGCAGCTTCGATGTCATCAATTTCGCTTGGAATATCCGTTTTTTCAACCTACAATTTTGCATAACAAATTTTTGTCATAACAACATAATAAAAATCAAATTAAGTTTTCTTTTATTCAACTTACCTTCTGCTTCTTCTTCTGGGGTGCAGGACATTCCGAATCCAAATCTGCTGCTATAACACTCTCCGGTGTATAAATGACATCGACTTCCTTCCTCCTCATTTCTTCCATCTCTTCTTCTTCCTCCTCTCTCTTTTCTTCTTCATATTTTTTCAGTTCATCGTATTTTTTTTCTACATAGCTCTTCATCTCTTTTATTTCACCCTTCAATTGATCTCCTTCATCCAAGTATTTATCAACCACCCCCTTAACCCCGTAAGTTCACTCCTCAATTCCACAACCTCCTTCACCACTCCCTCAAATTTTTCACCCGTCACCATCTTAATATCACCCCTTAACACCCCAACTTCTTTCACCGCTTCACCCCTTAACACCTCTACTTCTTTCACCACTCCATCTATTTTTCCTTCCACTACCCCCTTATGCCTCTCAAGTGTATCTTCGACTCTCTCAAGTTTCTCTTCGACTCTTGATTGTCTTTGCATGATATCAAATTGGATTTTTTTGATATCGGCCAATTCAGACATTAAAATGTCGAAGTTACTATGTTTTCCCTCACCGTCGTCCCACTCACCGTCATCCCCCAATACAACCATCTCTCCTTTCTTCTCCTCTGCCTCCTCTACATC